AGCTTTTACATTTGAGCAACTTAAAGCTGAAATTCTTTTTTTTTGAATGAAACACAATAAAACTGACAATGTTCCGACTTAATTACTATTGAGATATACAAATGTAACTGATAACATATTGATTGTCCATAATTGGCAATCAAGATGACAAAAACAATTCACGAAGATAGAAATGTAGGAAAATTGTTTTAGGTAATTTCTCAAATGAACAATTTGTACTAAAATAGCGATATCCTTCCGATTAGAGCACCTAAGATTGTGGAACTTCTAATAGTGTATCAATTGGATTGTAGTAAGTAAACATGCGTTCAACAAGTCGGCTCAGGTTCAGCCGAAATGTATCTTTGCTATAATAGGCATTACTCTTTAAATAGCTCTGAGTGGGATACCATATGCTTTTCGAACAAAACTCGTCATTTTGATCATGAAAGACTCGTTTAAAAAGTGATTGAAACAACTGTTTGCAAATATCAATTCTCGATGATCAAAGCAGTATCTAATGTTTTCAATGTTTGAAAACGTTATTTCTGACAAATGTAACATAATCCATAAATACGTTTTGGATCAAATGGATCCCTTTTCGCTTCACTTTAATGTCACTCAAATCACTAACACTTTGATATTTGCTTTTTCTAAAGTTTTATGGTTATCACGTATTTGTAGACATTCCTTTCTTTGCAATAACGGAAGATCGTGTGATGAAATTTCTACACGTATCCCTTCAATAAGTAGGAAAGTATGTTTTCAGTTGGCATAAGTGCCACAACAAAAAGCAAACAGATATACATAAATTAAACATGAGATAAAATTCAATTACTTGAACGTTTGATTCACACTTTTATTGAAAACATAGTATGACGAGTTTTGTTGTTATAAACGACTTCTTCTGATGCTAATAGAGTACTGTCTTTTCAATGAAAGTTCAAGTGTTTGAATTATATCTTATATTTGACTATAATGGTTCACATCAAGTGAACGCCAACACTATTAAATATTCATAAATTATACTGCACATTTTATATCTTCACTACAGATCAATTTCTTTGAAGGATAGCTTTTAGGTTTCTGTTGAACACTGCTGACGAGGTGTTTGGTCTATTTCAAGTGTTGCGATGGTGAATTTATCTGTGAAATACCCAAACCAAGGATTAAGTTTTAACCTTTTTTGCTGTTGTTTCTCATATGGAAGTTTTGTTTGAGAGCTCTGTATGTCAGTTCTGAACAGACAATGCCACCATGTAGAAACCAATTCACACTGAGCTTTTTTTAAATATTTCAGTACTTTATATTTTAGAAGATTTTCTGGATTCCAACAGTTATTTTCATTAAGTGTTTTATTGGCGTGTATTCGTTTGTCTTCAGTATACTACGTATGCTCCAGATCTCTAATATTTGCCGTTAGTTTGGTATTACCTCTGAAGAATAATACATCAAACTAAGGAAGTACAGTAAATGAGGTAAAATCAAAGCATGAAGACTTATTATTCTATAATGCGTACCCTTACACATTGTAGCTTTGTCGAAACTTTAAAATAAATAATATTCACGGATGACAGTAATCAGTCAATACACATAAATGAATTCATCAGAAAATCAATTGAGATATTTGGAATATAGATTTCATCGTTAATTATTTGCTATTTCGAATTTCTTCTCAAGAGTTGGAATTTTTGCAATAAACATTATTAAAGACAATTCAAGTCGAAAATTCATTATCGAAACTCTTTATAATTATATGCAGGTGTGATGATCAATTACATCAATGAAAAGATTATATATTTTTCGAATCAGAGTCGGCATCAGGTACGCGATGAAAAGAAAGAATTACCACAATTATCTGAGATAAAAGAGACAATGAAAACAGGGATAATGGAAACAATCGTTTGTTTACCTTCTTGAAAAAGTCGGTATTCTAAAATCGGACTTTCATTGATAATTCAATCAGTTACAATTCAATCACTCGATAATTTACATGGATAGAATGTACAACTCAAATGAACAACAACGATTTTCAGTAATAAGCTCTCTAAACATTTTCATTAATTATGTTATGGGATAGTGATGAAAAATATAATGCCGAAATTCAGAATAGTTTTCATTCATTTATATGTATTTGATATGTTTTTCTTTCAATGATTAACATGGAATACAACTGGACCTAAGAAAAAATTCAACTTTTCGAAAATTTCATATACTTACCAAAAATACCTCTAATTCCTAACTCAAATGATCTACGAACCCATAATTATAGTAATACATATATGAACATGTTTAGTTCTATATTATGTTCTATGTAACATATTTTAATCCTATAGTTATCTTATACATTTATAATGTAAAAATTTCCCAACGAAAAGGTTTTCCGTTTCTAATAATTTTTTTTAAGTCCCTAATACACGTAAAATTAAAGGAATGATTCCTGTTGGTAAGTTTTAGCTCACAAATTCGTCATAATATATTATGTCGAATTTGTCTCACGTATGTGTGTACTTAATACATATGTGTACTCATTTAATGAGGATCATTATAAATAATATTGATCCTAAAAATGAGAGGAGCAGGATCCGCATATAATGAACCAAATTTTGTCTCAATAATACGTACGTGTTTTTAGGATAATCAATTTCGGATGTTCAAGTGAATCGATCATAGATGATTGAAACATACTATGACAGTCACGTTTCACTGTTTATGAAATACATAAATATTGATTGATAATAACAAAAATAATAGGTATATTTAATCCCAAAAGATATACGCACAACTACAGGGAAAAATAACAAACGTAATAAAAATGATATAAAAAACAAAGTATATAAGCGAATATATACAACGACAAGAAAACCACGTTTAATTGAAATAGTAATATACTATAACCAAATGAAAAAAATGAAGATATAATATTATCTATCACGAAGGCTCAAATGCTCAACAGAAGCCATCGAAAATAGAATAAAAATTAATTGAACTAGTAATATACAATAACCAAATGAAACAAACTGAAAATAAAATATTATCCATTACATCCTCTCTAAGGATTTCGATACGTCGATGAAATATTCTATCAAACAAACAAACGATTGTCCTGCCCAAAAATTATTCAATTCACTCGGAATGAGTTTTGAGCTGCTCTCTCCACCGTAGAAAGTTACATTCACACATTAGTTTATATCAATAATAGACAATTTGTAAGAAATCTGAAAATTTCGAGTGAATTGAACACCTAATGATTTGACATAACTGACGATATAGTCAGAGAAATTGATGGCTAATATAGCAGAGCACAAATTTCGAATGATTACTTTCGAGCTTTCGACAAAATTGTTCATAAGTAAATGATGACCATCTTGAATTACTTTGGTTTCTCTGAAGAGGCTATGTAAATTTGTGTCATCATATATGCAATGAAGAAGACAATATGTACAGATTACGATGGGACTTTCAAGACTAGAGTAGATAAAACGCGGTGTACCTCAAGGCTCTATATTGTGAACACTTATTTTCAGTATATATACCAGTTGTGGGACGGAAGGTGTAACAATATCTAAACGCCACATGTATGCTGACGATGTGCAGTTGTATCGTTCTTTTGTGGGTAGGGTTTCAGAATTGCCTTCACGAAACTTCAATTCTGATCTACAGTTCATTTTATCGATTTCTAGGTAACATGGATTACGTATAAACACAACAAAAAAAAACCACGTTGATGGTTTCAGAAGAAACAGAATTTGTCGAACGTAGTTAGACATATGAGAGGGGATGTCTCCAAATGGAGTTTACTGATGGAGAAAACAAAATTTAGTGGGTATATAAATAAATGTTTGAAGGTCGTCTTTGTTTATTTGAATATGTTGATTCCACATTCACACATACTGCCGTGGAGTTTAGAGCAGACTGTTTGATGACTATGACGTTGTTTATGGCCGATTCGTTTCGTAATAGATTAAGTGTATTAGTCCCGATGTCTCACCATGGATGTTACTTGCGGCTGTGTTATATTCGAAAATTTTGAAGCACAAGTCATCACCATGTCTCTATAATGAAATAAAATTTCGGTAGATGTGTTGAATATAGGCTGCAGGGGACTGCTCATGCCTCATCAATGCCGTACTAATCTATTTCAAAAAGAGTTTTCATATGATATACGCAGGACTTTCAATTCTGTGTTGAAAACATTCCGCATTACCTCATCCCTGGAGAGGTTTGTAAAGGAATGAAACTATCTATCTCGGTGGTCATGAGTCTGTTGCATGGTGAGGGGTGACAATTATATGTATTTTATTTCCTTCAAATTGACATTGAATTTAATATTTTTTCAGGTTTTTCTTTTTATGATTTTCATTTTTCTTTAATTTTTTTGTTGCGTTATGTTGGAATATTGGCATGACTAATTTTTATTGATATTGTTCTATATTGTAATAAAAGGGTCCTATGGAAACTCACTTTTTAACTCAATACGATCCCATTTATTTTGGTTGAGAAAAACGTTTTTTATTCTAAGCTTGATTACTATATGTAAGGTTCTTGAAGATATTTCTCACGATAAAATCTGTATAATTATCACGATTATGATTTCTTGATAATTTAGTTTTTGTTGTAGTTTAGTTTAAAAATGTTTAAATGATAATTTTGTGCTTTTTCATCATATCCGACAATGTTCCACCATGTATTCGATAAGTCAACTGACATTATTACAATGAAGAATAAGATGCTGCTAACATGAATCTCTGAAAATTCGATAATAGATTTTGAGCTGAAACTTCTGAGTAGATGACTGTGACCAAGAAAAATGGTTCAACGCTGAGGGCTGTTACACATTTGAATTGGTCAACCTATCACCATTGGCAGATAATTAGCTGATTCAGTAAAATATTATAAATAGACCGGTGTAATTCTATAATTTGCTAGTGCACAGGTTCTACTATTTCTTCTAGAATCTTTTTCGTGGAATGTGATATTCTGAAAGGGATTTCTCTTTGTTTTCCCATTCTGATCAAGTTTCTGTGGTGTAGTGGTTATAACATCCGCCTAAGATGCCGAAGGTTCCCGGTTCAATCCCAGGCTTGAGATCCCGAGGTTGGGACTTTCCACGAGAACTTCCGAGAAATAGACTCTTTCAATAGCGTATTATTAAAAGGCCCAGAATCCACGATTCCGACAACGAGGAGTTTACACCTCCATCAACTAAAAAATTACTTACAAGAAGTAAAGAAATCATTGAAATACAAATAGAAAATAAATATGAAGAACCTTCCGACAACGGAGATGAAAGCGATGACATGGAGCAAGAATGTGAAATCGAATCCAAAATTCAAAATCGGAGCCATAAAGTAGACAAAGAAGAGTTCGAAACCACCGCCGATTGTTCTTCACGGATATGGGAAGAATCACAATGAGGTCATCGAGAAAGTAGTAGCTATGGCCAAAGGTAAATTCCATATGAAGTACGGAAAAAATAACACAAATATATTTATGGATAACGAGAGCTTTTTCAAATCAATTGAAGAAGCGTTGAAAGCTGACGAAGTTGAATTCCACAGATTCAGTTTGAAAACAGAAAAAACACGTGCATTTTGGAATGCATGGTTTGAAATGTGCGAGGCTCTCCGTGTATGTAGGAAAGCGTTTCGCCAAAGCGCACATGCGATCTTTTTCGAGACAATTCTCCAAACGAGAACTTAGAAGTGCAGATCATTTTGGATGGTATTTCGAGTTGTTTTAGTTGGTGATATATTTTGTGTAGGAGGTAGAGAATTGGCTTTTGTGGGGATTAATAGTTTTAGTTTTATCATGATTTACCGCTTCCTCCTTTTCTATAAGTATTTTCAGAGTATTATTTAATTTCAATATTTGATTAATTAGTAAAATTTGTGTTTACGTCATGCCATGCTTGGTGTTGTTCACAAAATGGCAGTGGAGAATATTTCTGTACCTCTACCATCAGAAGAGGTCTCATTAATTTAAAATCTCCAATGTTTTTCATGGTTGTGAATCATGTTTTTTATAATGAGGCCGGAAATATTTTGTGAAAGTATCTCAGTATGGGCATTGTTAAGAGTACGTAAGATTGAGATTTTTGGTTCCTCCTCCTAATAGGACAGCCGAGTATGGTACGGGACAATACTTATCCCGCAATATCCGTTCCGTCATTACTACGAAAGACAGTTACAAAGCCTGTTCGATAGCGGGAATTATTCATCTGTCAGAGACGTCCAGTTCAAATAGTGCAGACGAGCTGGGTGCCGATCTGTTGGTTCAGGGCAGCCAGATATCCTGACATCCATACGTAGAAGACTGTTTGATAATTTTCCGAAACAAGTACCTTTGGACGATAGAGTTTTAAGTATAATTAGATTGCTTTGTTCGAGATAACCTAGCCCACATTAAACTTGGTAGTGCCCTTAAAAAAGTCACTCGCACCCTCATTCCATAGCTTGTGGTTTTTCCTTCACTCAAATCTGATGAGTACGTGGGTGTTTGAGTACGTTTATTGTTGACCAGTAACAATATATATATATATATATATATATATATATATATATATATATATATAAATATATTGATAAAAAAATTTTATTCGATATCGGAATGTAATGAATTTCAATCATAATTTTGGCACATCTAGTAATAGTTGTTACGTCAACGTTCTAATTGAATTTTCATTCAAAACACATACTCATATTCCAAGCATTTCAAAGTTTTTGCCAAGTAATTATGTTTCATGCAAAAAACAGCTGAAGTAAAAGTTCTTGAAACAACATAAATGAAATAAAAAAAATAAAATATTCTGGAATTATATTTGTTACAATTTTCATTCCCTAGCTTCCCAAATGCCTTTATATTGGGTTAAACCTTCATGATTGGCTTTGTAACTAGGTAGTTTCTCCATTCGTTTCCACCAGCGTATTACATTGGGAAAACGATCTTCAGTAATTGGATACATTACATTGAGCGATGATACCCAAGCCACGAAGCTAAAGTCCGCTATAGTTAAATTATCACCTGCTACAAATTTGTTGTCCAATCCTAAAATCTTCTCCAACGCCTCAACATTCCCCAGTAACCTATTTTTATTGTCTTCAGTTATTGATTCTTTCTTTTCGGCTGCTAAGATTATTGGTCTCTGAAAATAATTGAATATATAAACACATATAACATTCGCTCTCGTTGTTTCGTCTTGAAAAACGACGGGTCGAGACGAGACACACTTTTGTTCGTCTTTTATCATTGTGAATTACATTTACATTATTCATCATTTACAATTCAACTGAATTTCAAATTATGTTAATCTTCAAAATCACTGTCATACTGAAAATGAATTACACTTACTGATATCGATACAAATGTAGCGAACGATTGTGTACTGAAGTGAAGTAATTGATCCACTAGAGCTCGTTTTTTGAATTCTTCTGGGTAGAGAGAATCATTTTTTCCATATTTACCAACCAGGTATCCCATTATCGCAGCACTTTCGAAAATGTAAAAACCGTCGTCATCTAAGGTTGGAATTGTGTGGGATGGATTCATCTGCAAGGAAAAAATTATTCTGGAAATTTTTCCTGAAATTGAGGATTTGTATGGATGAATTAATTTCTCCAAAATCTACCAAGTGTGTTTCGTTGAAAACAACAGATGCGACTTTCGTCATTTCTTACAATGTCTTAATTTGTATGTTTGTAAAGATATAACCATTGTGTTTATTCAAGATGCGAAATATTTCTGAGTATTAATTCTCTTGAATATTTGAAAAACAATTGGTGAAACGGTTAATAAATGAATTATATTTTAAGAATTTCAAGAATATTTCTCATTATTGACCATTGAAAGTGTTCAATTTATTGAACGCTTTCTTTGCGCTTCGATATTTTTTGAGAATCTGTCCTTGACAATGTAGAAGGAACACAACTTGTAGCAGAAATGAAATTCACATTAATAGTTTTTCTTTACAGTTATTTAAAGAAGCAAATATCTTCTTTATAGTTCTCGATGAAGATGATTGAATATTTGCGTATATCTTGGTGAATAATCGTTTACTATGTCGAATGAAAAACACTTTGTGTTAGTGAGTTTATCTTTTGAAAATCGAGTAATACCCTGACACAATTGCTGAGGAATTGACATAATTTCATTAAACTGAATTAGCTGTGTTTCATACATTATATTGACCTTCCTGTCATTGTTGTCTCACTTCACTAACGTAAACTTCAATAACGAGAACATTCTGAAATTTTCCTCTACTTATATCGAAAACATTACCTGATTTTAAAGAACTAGGCACATACTTTTCTTAGCCTTTCCATTTGATTTCTTCAAACACCTCAAGCAATTTTCGTTTACTCGTATAATACCAAACACTGTCCTACACTTCAGATCTACTCTTTTCCTTCACATTCCTCTTCTTAAGAGCAGAAGGCCGTATGTCATGAAATTTTATATACTGATTTTTCATGAAATATGACATTCAATTTCAACCTTTATTCAGTTCATATCTATGTGGAATAAAAGTCGAACGAACTCTTCATGAAATATTGAATAATTGAGAAAAAATGTAATTTGTACTTACTTTAAGGTATTCTTCCGTATATTGCTCCTTATTCAGAATATTGCATTTTCTCAGCTCCAATTCGAGTCCCAATTCCTTCGCCGTCATCAAAACTGCCCTGACTGGGGGACATGGAGGTAACATGTAAAGTATTGGTGCCATGGTGGTGGAGGATCTATCTGTACCAGGTATCAATTGAATTATAGAGTACTCAATTGTCTTTTATATAGGAATATTTAAGTTAATGATTACGTCAACCGATTCCACACAGCAGTGTTGCCAGGTATTTTGTTTTTAATTGAAAATTTCTTTTCAGAACGTCCAGTGTTTTTCTGAAACATTTTGAACATACAGTCCTTTAGAAGCTGTGATTTGAGACCTATAACTATATTGCCATCATTTTCCAAAACTTTTGAAAATACTATATGTATAAGAATGTTGAATTTATGCAATTGTTTTTCATTATTTTCAACTTCCCAGCATGGATATTTGAGAGGTGGAATAGTGAATACAGTGATGTACAACATGTGATATTCTGCATAATAAAAATATTTTCTAGCAATTTTGATAGACTTGACTAAGGCATTTGATCGTATGTGCCACAGAATATTGCGGAATAAATTTGAAAGATGTGGTTTTCGAGGAATATCTCTTGATCTGGTGAACTCCTACTTCTCAAATTTTTCTCAAATGATAAAATTGAACATAGACGAAAAATGTTTTTTAACTAAAATTTTTCAGATAAACGCGGGGGTGTCACAAGACAGTGTACTAGATCCAATACTATTTGTGATTTCCATTAATGAAATCCAAAACGTAATGTGCCAAAAAGTATTGCATGAGCATTTCGCCAGAAATGTTCTAGTAAGAAACAATTCTAAGTCCCATTATATGTTATTCCATATGAGATATGCAGTATGTAATGCAGTTATGTGTAAATGATGAGAATGTATCATTACCAGATTTTTCTAACTTCTTTGGTATACATGTGGATGATACCTTGATTTGGATTAAGCATATTGACAAATTATGGATCAATTTGATTAGTGTTAGCTATTTGTTCTGTATTTTGAAAAGACATTCATCTTTTCTACAACTAAAAATAATATATTTTTTTTGGTTTAAATCGCTCTCAAGTTACGGTATCATTTTTTGGTGTACAACTAGTCACTTTCAGAAAATTGAGAATTTCAGAACTTGCAAAAAACAATTTCGAGAATACAAACTGAAATATCATTCAGATAATCTTGCAGGGAAATATTCAGAGGGTGCAATATTTTCACACTACCTGGGTTATATATTTATAAGTTGTTAGTACATTTCTTCAAGAGCAATTTTTATGATGGTTCTATTTTTAAACATAGTTACGACACAAGACGTATGAACTATGTTTATCTAGAGCTTATGTTCTCATTTTATGAAAATAGTCCACTCTATATGGGTAAAAAGCTTATTAACAGTCTTCATCTAAAAATTAAGAGTGATGTTCAATTTAAAAGATTTAAACAAAACTTGTTCGATTTTTTTA